GGGGGGGGGGGGGGGGGGGGGGGGGGGGGGGGGGGGGGAGGGAAGATGTGCGTCCGCGAGCACGAAATATCTACAAACGCCCGCATTCACTCACCCCCCCTGTTCGAAAGCTTTTGGTCTCTTCCCACTGCTTGTGAAGCATGGAATTTGTGCTGCACAGTTCAAGAAGGCATTGGAAAATGACCCTTTCCTAATCAACAGCTTCAGTGTGTAACGCGGTGGTCGAGATCCTTGAAAGTAGAAAAAATCATCCCTAGAAAAAATAGATTGAACGTTAACCTGACATGAAGTCGATGTGTATAGGAAGAGGTTTGGCACGAACGCCCGTCACCGTGGCGGTGGGAAAAAACGTGACGTTTCTGAAAAGCATTTCTTCACTCACACACACGACGCACGTTTCTCGCCGATCGACCGAAAAGGTGGCGGAATCGATGGAAGAGGAGGAAACTCGCCGCTTCGCGGAGACCATTCGAGAAGAGGTAAGAGCAAGCACTTCCGTATTAGAGATACCGCCCGTAGCCTCGTGTTGCATCCCCCCCAATCGGGTTTAAGCTCATCCTCGCGTACACGGACGATTCGTTTAGCCCTGTGCCATGTACTATCTCTTTGTCCTTTCTCACTCGACTCCGAAGCGGCGTTGTTTCAGCTCAGTCTGGGATATTGTGCATGGTGTCCCACTAATGTTCCGGGTTGCCGCTTCTGCATGACGGATGAAACAATCCCGACACTGCGCCTTGAAACAGACAGGTCGGGATACGTTGTCGAAACGACAATTGCTTGGCCGCAGGCCCTTAATGGGCAGCTTGCCTTTGTTCAGCATCTCGAGGTCGCGTTAGGAGCATCAACCTGGAATGTTCAGTCGTTCTCTCGGACGAATCGGACGCTTCCCGCTCCATGCGAGTTTTCTTCTTTCCGTTCTTTACAGAGGTGCTGGTTCTGGATCGCAGAAATATTTCCCGCCCCATTGACGGTTCCCGACAGAAGATTGCGGCCAGCGCATGCTGTGTCAGGAACCGAGGTGGAGCGGCACATGTTCTCGATCGGCGTACACAAGCACACATTCTTCGGCATGTACATGTCGCGATATCACCACGTTGAACGTTCAAACTTGTGCTACGTATTGCTACGCCCATGCTCATTCCCACACACGCAGGTTCCAAAGCTGGCGAAGAAGATAGCGCAGGTGCGGGAGCGGCTGGACAACAGTCTGGTGGCGAGCATGGATACCGAGGCGGAGAAGGTGCTGCAGTTCCTCGGCCAGGAGGAGGATATGCTCAACCAGCACAAGGACCGCTGCACCAAGCTGATGGAGTACCAGGTGTGCGGGTTGTAAGGACCTCAGTGTCCATGAATAGTCTAATAGGAGAACGTCGTTCCGTTCCCCCCTACTTGTTTCTGCGATCTGGGTTGCCTTCAAGCACATGCTGTTGTCATGTCGACTATTGTTTTTCTTATCTTCGAATCCGCCATATTGCGCCGTTCAGCCTGAACTGTTGGAAGCACAATTTTTGCACACGAAGCTTTTAGAGACGCACGCTTTCATCTCCAATGACTGACGTAGGAATATTCACACTGTGCGTCCGACGCTCCATGCGCACCAACCGCGAACATATCCACCACAGACGTCAACACGTGTCAATGCTTGAAATATTGTGCTGTAGTTGAATGCTATACTGTCCCGCCCTGTGTATCTGGGACCACCAACTTTGCAGACACTGCTGGCGCAACCCGTGGACGAGATCGACACCCTCGACGAGGTTGTCTCGGACCTCACCCTCAAGGTAAGCACCGTCAGTTCACCAGCTAGCTTAAGGAGTCCCATGTGTAGATGTAGGCACACGTGTTTGAATTGAATTCCCCGAGGTTACAGCTTCGGTGAGATGTGTACAGAGCATTGGTTGGATTTTTCTGTTCTCCAGATCACAGTGAACACCAGGAGTAAACCCAAAGAGGCTTCGCACGCAACCTTTGCTTCTCCAGAGAAGGTTGACCATTCACAGCTTGCCGTGGGTCTGTGTCAGCTATACCAAGTACAGTGCACGCTTTTCTCGTCAAAGGAGAGGCGATGTTTGGAAAAAGTAGTTGTACAACATCGGTGGTTGCTCGCCCTTCCCAATCTACTTATCCTTCGTGTGCGTGTTGTCCTAGCCGTTGTTCGCATCGGCTGCTAACCGTTGTTGTCGCTGCCGGCCTGCCCCCTGTCACCTATCATGTTGCTGCTGCAAATGTTGGTACCAAACATCCTCCTGTCTCGCTCGGCATCTGCGGCTGGAAATATTTTCGACCAGAAACGTCTGTGGACCGGAGTGAAGGCGTGGAAGGAGCTCACCGAAACATGGCTGCTGACCCCCTTCACAGAGATCGATGCTAGCATCCTGGAGAAGCACGTGACGTTGTACCAGAGGACGTGCCACCAGGCCGTGAAGGGACTCCCTTCCAACCCCGTCGCGAAGAGACTGAAGGCGAGCAGCCTCTTGTCGTTCATGGTATCGTTTTTGCACAAGCATTTCTCACCACCCTGCCCCTACTCTGCTTCAAACGTTTTCTCGTACACTACATCACACCCGACCCCGCTCATTGAACTTGTCTCGAGGCGTCTTGCTTGCTAGTCTTTTCGTTTGGCTGCCCTGATCGTCGACAACTCAATGCGTACACCCCCAAAACAGGATGATGTGGACAACTTCAGCCCCGTCCTTCCCGTGGTAGTCAACCTCCGCAACCAGGGTCTCCAGGGAAGGCATTGGGACCAGATCCACGAGCTCATCGGCTTCGAGATCAAGGGAAGACCCGAGATAACGCTGGGCGAGCTGATCGACAAGAAGGTTCGCCTGGTTTCCTGCACCCACGCTCCGTTTGAACACACAAAATGATGGGTTTGCATGGAAGCCAGGCTGCAAGACGACACAATGATCATCGGCACCTGTGATTGCTTTTTTAAGCCAACTACAGGGAATATTTTCATGATTCTGAAGTGTTGAATAGCATTGAAAGAGTTACATTGGTTTCGGTCGTTTCGCTTGATGTAGTGTTTCTTCTTCAGCGGCAAGAAAAGCCTTAGTACAACGGGTGGACGGGTGTATCGCAGGTGACCGCCTTCCACGAGGAGATCACGAGCGTGGCGACCTCCGCGGTGCAGGAAGGCGTGCTGGAAGAGATGATGGAGAAGGTGTCGGCTATGTGGGCCAAGACAGAGTTTGAGGTCAGTGATTCGGTCTGTGCATAGTCGTTGAAACACTTTGTTCACCATTGAATTCTCTCCAGCGCTGATTGTGAATGGCGTCTTTGTCCCTCTTTCCCCGGCAAATCAGGAGTAATGATGACGAACTATCGCACGAAACCATCTAGCCAATGATGACGAAACATCGCACGAAACCGTTCAGCCAAGACCAAATGTGTGTCCGGAACTGGACCTGAACCCGCTCCTGTAGGCTAGTTTTCTGACAACATATCGACTTTCCTGCTCCATGATTCCTCATTCTTTCGTTTGTCTAGATAAAGTCCGCTCATTCTCGATGTACGTCCACCATATCACCCTTTGCCAAGTCCGCCTGGACCAAGCCCCCGCTCGCTCGACCGTAGGTAGCCTTTGGCACTGATACCGTTTTGTTTCATTTTCGGTCCCACCCTACCGTGTCCGTCCACCCTTTGGTCCATCAGGTGAAAAACTACAAGGAAATCAAGGACTTGTACATCCTGGGCGACACTTCGGAGGTGGTGGCGAACCTCGATGACTCCCTGGTTACCATCAACACGGTCCTGAGCAGCAGATACGTCGGCGGTATTCGAGGCATGGTGGACGAGTGGCGCGGCAAGCTGGTCACGCTTCAGGTAGGAACAACACGGAAGCAATTTTTTTTTCAGGAAGGACTGTAGAACAACAACGGTTGAACCACATGATGGTTGGACTTTTCCAGTCGAAGAATATCGAGAATACACAGCTGATTCGATTCTTAGGAGCTACTTCTCGGATACAAGGCTGTTTTATACCACTTACCATGACTTATGGACACAGCACACGTCGAACCTCTGAGGACGTTTTGGTGCTTGAATTGTCGGGAAATGATCGAAGGTACTACGGGGGGATTGGAGGCGAGCGACCTAGCCAAAGTATGGTCTCAACAGAGGACACGCATGGAAAGCTTCAGCCGTCCGAGAGTGAAGAAAGCTGTTGTTGTTGTTGTCGTCGTCGTCGCCATTGTAGTGTTACTAGTTCTGGTACAGATTGTTCCTCCTGTGGTATAGAAGTACCCGGCAAACTTCGGCGTGGGTCACACGCCGGCATGACCCTGTGTGGGCAGCACTTGTTGACGACTAGCCGATATAACGGGCGACTGGGTAGACGACGAGGGAAAGTGTGTTGGGCTATCGTGCATCTGAGTCTAAGGGCACGAGCAGCTTGGGCTCTCTTCAGCATGATGCTTCCCAGTCGTTAGAAGGCAAGACCGTACGGTACGTAGGTGCTGCAGGTGACGGTACAAGTACTTCTATTGAGTTCTCGCCACAATATAAACACGCTTTCAGGAAACGCTGGACGAGTGGCAGGCCTGCCAGCGGACATGGATGTACCTCGAGTCCATATTCGGCTCGCCCGACATCGTCCGACAGCTCCCGGCCGCGGCCAAGATGTTCCAGGCGGTGGACAAGTCCTGGCGCTACATCATGGTCGCCACTGCGGACGAACCGTTGGCTATCAAGCAGGTGATGGTGATGGGTGCGAACAATGACCGGGAAAACTTGTTTTTTTATTTGTGAGACGGTTACCTCTGTCCAGTCGTGTGTGGTTAATCTTCAACACTGCGAGCACATTATCCGCTACCTTGCGGACCGTTTTGTGTTCAAAGGAGATACTGTAGTCCGAGAGAGCATTGCGAAGGATTGGCACTGAGCAACAATGAACGGGGAGGAAAATCAATGTTCCGGGTAATGGTTTGTGAATACTGGTGTGTCAGAAGGGAAGGCCACGGTTACAGATGTAACGTACTTGAAGTAGTACAGGACCACCAGTAGCACGCGTCAAACATGGAACGCACACTCCTCCTGGCGATTTTCAGCCGGTACCTAGGTGCGGGAGGATCTAGTGTCGTCTGCCGTACAGTGCTGCCCTACCAATATCCGAATCCTGAACACCAAGACACCACAATACAGGAGGCGCTGTTACAGTAATTCTTCGCCATTTGTCCCGGTGTCAATCACGATATGGATTTTTGTTTGATGGATGAATCACAGGGCCTGGTGAAGGACCGCAAAGATACCTTTGCCTCGCACAACACTGCGCTGGACAAGATACAGAAGAGTTTGGAGGAGTACCTCGAGACCAAGAGGGCCGCATTCCCAAGATTCTATTTCCTTTCCAATGACGAGCTGGTAAGTTGCTGCTGCTGCTACTGCTGTCATCACCAAGGATTTACAAACTCTCTCGACGGCCTAGAAACATATTTCCCATAATCCGTTTGCGTCCAAACAGCGTCGGCTCCTCGTATCTTTCGGGAGCACCGGCATGTGCGCTATTTGTCAAATGATTTGGATAGGAGGGAGCAACACAAATTGAACGATCAAGTTCTCAGTATGATAAAATCCTGAGCCCGTACCTGATTTGCATTTCCTCCGACTACTGAATCTATTCAAGAATTGCACTGATCATGTCCAGGAATCATGCGTTTCTTCGAACAAATGCGGTTTCTTGTATGTCGTTTGTAGCGACACACCGTTGGCCGCTTGTATGACAGAATGAACCCACCCGCCGTCGCTGTCGCCGCCGCCACGCCCTCCTTCCCCCCTTCGACCGTGGCGCCACAACATCATGCATTCTCAGCTGGAAATCCTGTCGCAGGCGAAGGACCCTCAGGCGGTGCAGCCTCACCTAAGGAAATGCTTCGACAACCTCGTGGGACTGACCTTTGGAGACGAGCCAGGCTCGATCGACATCCATGCCATGATATCCTCGGAGGGGGAGAAGGTCCCCCTTGGAAAAAACCTCAAGGCCAGGGGTTACGTCGAGGACTGGCTCAGCCAGGTAGGTATCCTAATGTCGTATTTGTCGAGGTTGTTATTTGCTATTTGCTAAATATGTTCCTTAGAGTGCTTCCTCGGCGGTGTCCTTGTGGTGCATTTGCAGTTGTTCTCTCCCTTTATCTCGCGCGGATGATATCCCTGGTTTTCATCCACGTTTGTTTTGTGTATATCGGGATGAGCTGCCACAATTGTCGCACAATAGAGAAAGCTGTCGGGCCCGTCTCTTCCCGACATATTGAGTATGATTGACGTGGTTTGGTCCTGTGCAGGTTCGTGAGTAGCTTTGGACGACTTTTTGGGGCCCTCGCTTAGGCGGATAAATATCACTTGATCTTGAGAATATTTGCGTTGTCTACGTACTGAACATGGTTCGAATACGTCGCGATGATCTCGCCACGTTCAGATGAATGACGAACGAAGTAGAAGATGTTTTCGGGCCTTGCAGGTCCCGGTGTAATCCACTCGTATGTTCCATGTTGAAGACACCCTCTCTTTGGTCTCACCCTCACTTTGGTCTTTGCTTTTTCGGCATCATTGGCGTGATAGAGCTGCTTGGTCAAATATATTAGTGCGAGACTCGTCCTGTTCTTGAATGTCACGCTTGGCGGTACTACCGCCGTGAGACTCGGGATGGGTGCACGGGACAGGATATCAACAGAGAAATAGGATAAAATGAAAGCCCTACGCCGTTTGATCCGATATGACGTAGTTTCGCATGGAGAAGATTTAGTTGGCACAGGGGTACTGGAAAACCAAAACCACATACTTAGGATGACGGTTTTACCACTATGTGTCCACCTCGAATCTTGTACGTTGCAGTACGAAAACACAAACATGAAACCACACAGGGGGGTGGCACTCGTTAGAAGCGACAGCGTAGATTCAATCACCGGGATGCCCCCGATTAATTTTCCGTTACTTAAGGTTGAAGCGCGAATGAAGACGTCTCTCCATGGGTTCATGAAGGCCGGGCTGCTGGACTACGACACCAAGGCCCGAGAGCAATGGGTGGGCTGTCACCCTGGGCAGGTGAGACAGAACGTTTCCTGCCAAACTGTTGTGGATTACCGGTGAAAGCGCACACATGACCAACTCGCGGCATTGCTTCACCAACAAAGCCCTTGGTGTATTTCTTTTGTAGCCGTGTAGTCATTTGAAAATAAACCTTGTGTGTATTCGTGTGTTCATCCGTGACAGCGTTTGTTGCTTTTCCTATGGCTATCCTCACTACAGGTGGTTGCGACCGTCGCGCAAATGACGTGGGCTAGGGGCACAGAAAACGCTCTGCGCTCGGAGAACTCCGTCACTGAAATGAAAGAGTGAGCCGCACTCGCTCATAAATTGTCATCCGTGCTGCAACTGGGCCCTTTGCACCTGATTGAGCGTGCAACTGCACCACCTCGAAATGTCGTATCACCTTTGTTCCGGTAGTCAGCAATGCCCTACACGTTTAATGTTATCAAATCTTCGATGCCACTCATTCCAAAGTCACTATATTTTCACATCAGAACGGATAACCAGACCTGTGTTATCAACACATTCTTGTGACAGTTTCGGTCGGTTGATCACATCCCGCCTCATGAGCCGGGCTACCCCGCGTGTGATAGCATGGCATGACCGAACGCTGTCTTCAGTGTTGTCGGAGGATTTTGCTTGCCTCGCTGTTGACCTGGATAAGCTGGGGTGTGTTCGCATCTTCGAGATATGATATCATCGCCGCACATTTTCCCTGTTGTGTTTTGAGCCGACTTCACGGAGGGCTCCCTGGACGTGAGACGAACGAAACGAACACCATGTCCAAACAAAATGTCCTTTGCAGGATTTTGTTCAGTATCGCGCAAAGTTGTGAGCATACATACATCCAGTTTCGCAAGGGAAATCGCGGAAGTCATTAGAGATAAGCGACGTAAGTATTGAGCAAACGGTACCGGACGCTGACATGAATGGATTGCCCGATGTTGTTTTTTTCTTTCACCGCCTGATCCTGCTCAGGTGGTTTGATATCTATGTCATCGAGCTGACCAAGCTTATCGTACGCATCCGCGGCAACCTGAGCAAGCTGGAGAGGAAGGTCATCGTAGCCCTGGTTACGACGGACGTGCACGCGAGAGATATCATTGATGAGCTTTATGAGAATAAGGTATGAGGTCTGAAGAAGGCACCGCGGCTTGCAACCATCGGCGCTGTTGTGAACACATCTAAATCTCCTTTGGTCCATTCACGTTGTTAGAGCGTTCTTCGAAGGGCCGTGACGACGGTAGAAATTGCATGACTTTCAGGGCCAGGATGTATGATACGAGGTAGGTCCAACAAGTCGCCCGACGGCCATCGGCGCGATAGGAGGGTGTACCTTCTCACTGCGTTGTGCAGGGGACAGAGACACTGAAGAACGGGTACGGGTTGTCGGACGATTCTTAGGCTAGCGCATGAGCCACTGACGACGTACACGAAACATGCATCAACGGGCTCTAAGGGATGCTTCAAGTTTATTTTCAGACGGATAGCTTGCCATGCGCCTGTTCCTACGTAACGACGTCGCAAGTGTTGCGTGCCCGCTCCGGAAAAAAACTGATACACGCGCCAGGTCGACTCACTGCAGAATTTCACTTGGCAGCAGCAGCTACGGTACTACTGGGACATGGATCTGGACGACTGCCTGATTCGGCACTCGGATGCGAGAGTGCGATACGGTTACGAGTACATGGGTGCGACGAGGTGATGGCGATATCAATTGTGTTGTGTTTCCTATGTTTTGGTGACCCTGGCAGCAGGTAGGGCTCGTGGGCTGTCCTTCGTGAAGGAAAATATATTTCTGCGGTCTCCAGCCACCGGTGCAGGAGTCTTGAACAGCCGGCTACAACAGGTCCCGCATTTTCTCCCGCCACGTGCAAGTAATTGTGTGAGAGACACGAACGATCCAATAATCGTCCTATTCGAGTTGTTGGAAAATATGCCCTCGCACGTTCTTTGCGTGTTCCAAAAGTTATGAAAGAGCTCGTCAAAGAAGGACAATGCCTGGTGCAGTTTCGTGTCACAACGTGGTCAGAGAGACATATCTGGGTGGCCTGGTGAAACATTGTTTTTTCGAGAAACTCGTCGATTTCTACTTTGCCCGCAGAGAAACATGCCCGTTAACTTGTTTTCATCATTTATGTTTCGTCTGCGCGGCTGAGTCCAGCCGCCTGGTGATCACTCCCCTGACGGATCGATGTTGGCTCACGCTCACTGGATCGTACGAGCTCAAGCTGGGGGCCGCGCCCGCTGGCCCTGCGGGAACAGGAAAGACGGAGACCTCGAAGGATCTCGCGAAGGCGAGCCCCCTCCGTTTCGTCATGCCGCTTGTCGCCAATTCTTAGCGTTTTGTTTGATGCCAATGGAAGAACAGTCGAAGCGTCCGGCTTCGGTGACAATCTATGCATTGCGGAGTCATGCATGGGTTGGCGTAAAGCACCATTTTGAAAATGCTTCTGTGAACAAAACGTCCAACGTTTTCGCACTCCCCTCGGCTGTTGTTTCGCTGTTTCCCCCCGCCGGCACGCTATCTTTGTATCAACGTTGCTAATGAATTTCGCCTTTTCCCCCCCACCACCTTCAGGCCATTGGCATCCTATGTGTGGTGTTCAACTGCTCGGATCAAATCGACTACAAGATGATGGGCAAGCTCTTCAGAGGCCTAGCTCAGGGGGGCTCATGGGTGTGCCTCGACGAGTTCAACCGTATCGATATCGAGGTGACAACATCTTCTCTCCCTCGCTCCCTAGCCAGCGAGCGGCCTCTTCTTTGGAGTGCTCGTCGTGACGTCGCGCCCAACGACCGCACCCGGGCACCCTGCCCACGTGGCTGCCAACATTCATCCACGTTGGCTCTGAGAGAATGTCTTGATAAATCCTCCTGGCCACGTCCTCGTCGAATTCGTATTTTTACGCACTGTACAGACTTGCTTTCCGCCCGCTCCATCATCACATGTCGTGATAACTTCAGGTGAAACATACACATCTGCTCGACGATGACTCCCAATGTCCCCTCCCATCTCAAGCAGCTCCATCATCTACGATGCCTTTCAAATGAGGGCTCCTCATATGTTATTCAAAGTCTCGTGCTGTATCACATTGTCTCGCCTACACCCTTTTCCCCCAAAATACTCTACCGTTCTTGTATCCGCTCCTCGTTACCTATTTGCAGGTGCTTTCGGTGATCGCCCAACAGCTTCTAGTCCTTCGTGAAGGACGGTTGATGGGAAAGCCAAACATCAACTTCATGGGCGTACAGATCGCCCTAAAGGACCACCACGTGATTATCACCATGAACCCTGGCTACGCAGGGCGAACCGAGCTACCTGATAACCTAGCGGTGAGAGTAGAGTAGGTGGAGTGCCGTATACCTGCTCTTGGCACGAAGGTATGGCAAGGAAATAATGTGTTTTGCAATGTGAAACTAGAAACAGGAAAACCAAACGTCACAGCAGAAGTGTGGGTACTGAGTAATACCCCTTGTTCTAGCCTTGTTTATGCCGAACCGCCCGCACAGATGGCAGTGGTCAGTCTTTCCCAGGATGTTCCTCGAGGCAACAACAAACTACCGAACACTCTCCCCCGTGAACTGCCAGCTCGTCGAACCCGTCTGCCCTGCCGCATGCACTGAACACACGGTATAGGTGTGCTTCCGTCCCGTGGCGATGATGGTACCGAACTATGCTCTGATTGCCGAGATCATGCTCTTTGCCGAGGGCTTCGCCGACGCCAAGACTCTGTCCCGGAAGATGTGCAAACTCTACATCTTGTGCTCCGAGCAGCTCAGTCAGCAGCCTCACTACGATTACGGCCTTCGGGTGAGGGAGCGGTCGGTGTACATGCGGCGGCTACTGTTAACTGTTAGAGGAGAGAGGTAGATGGAGGCACCAGCACGGGGGGGAAACGTGTGTGACGGAGGCGAGGGTATGCTCCTGCCCGGCGCAGCTGGCGTAGAAGAAGCTGCTTTTGTACTCCTGCCCAGCTCTTCAAATCTCCGCGACTGTTGCGAATACCTTGTCGGAACGGTTAGATGCCGAGGGTGCCAGATGCTGGGATCACACGTGTTGCGCTTTCTTGCACTGTACCGACACCTCCTCTCTCTCTCACAAGGCCTCAAGCCACTATCGGTACAATTTGGTGTCGTATCACGTGCGGTCCAGGCGGTAAAGTCGGTGTTGGTGATGGCGGGATCACTAAAGAGAGGCTATCCCGACGTCGACGAAGACTTGACCCTCATCCGCGCGCTGGTCGACTCCAATGTGCCCAAGTTCCTTGCGGACGACCTTCCCCTCTTCGCGGCAATCGTCAAGGTATGCAAATGTCGAAAAGACTCCAGTCGCCATACCTTTTGAGTACTTTTCCGGACCTGGCTTTGCTCTCGCTGTTGTTTGTCACAATTGCTGTCATACCTCACAGGCCTTCACGTTTCCCTGCTCTTCACCACTGCCAATAAGACGAACCCCAGCTACGTCTACTTGCATGATGTTAATGGACTCACAAATCTCTTCTATTCATTATGCTTTCACGCACCCCCCGTGCGCGACTTGTCACCTGCAACAGGATCTATTCCCCGGGCTGGAAGTACCTTCGAATGACTATGGCGAATTCAGCGTTGCGCTTGAGGAGCAGCTCGACAAGCATGGCCTTCAAAAGGTATGCTCTATCTAGGTGCTACAGGTTGCCTGTCAAATACAAAGGACAACAGCTGGTGTCGGTGCTTACCACACACCAGATTTGTCGGTTTCCCCCCTGCTTCTCCAGTTCCGACGACTTGATATCGACAAAACGAATACGGAATGACTTAAGAGCTATAGGCGAAAGGATGGCGGTGTGGTTCACAACCAAAATGATGCAAGTCCGAAGTAGCTTGTGATCCAGTGCTCATTGGGCCCGGGCGATAATTTTTTGACGTTTCGCAAAAGGCTCGAACACTTGACAAGTTACTGTATGATGGCCGGAAAAACGGCATGGCCAACGTTGCAGAACCCGATTACCCATTCGGCCGACCGAAAAAGCTCAAACGAACAACATTTTTGTTTCGCGCCAACGGATAACCACGGAATTGTTCTGCTCGGACCGAACACACACTTGTTCGTGGTGAAGGTGCCACTGTTCATGGGGAAGATCATCCAAATGTTCGACGTCTTCAACATCCGCTTCGGTGCGACACTTGTGGGTCCCACGGGAGCGGGCAAGACCACCTGCTACAGGATGCTCGCAGCCGTGATGACGGACCTGAGGAATAAGGGCTCCGTTAACCCAGAGTTCCAGGTGACAGTTTCATCGCTGTTTTTGAGGTTGGTCATTGTTGGTGTTAATGTGTTGGTGTTGGTGTTGTTGCTCTTGTGGAATCGTTGTCTTCACTTTTAACGATCGTCCTGGACACCAACTTCCACGTGGTGTACCAACACTTCTTGTAAGACTGTCGCTACTCCACCACGGGCAAGATGAAACCAAGACGCACAAGATCAACAGGGTTCGCCCTCCGACACTTACATCGGCGATTGTTTCAGCTGCACCAGGAATGTAAAGTATGCAAATATTCCTTCACGTCCCGATGAACAGGTAGTCAAGTACGAGGTGCTGAACCCAAAGTGCATCACGATGGGAGAGCTCTACGGAGAGTTCAGTGAACTCACGCAGGAGTGGCACGACGGCCTCGCGTCCACCATCATGCGTAGAGCCGTGGCTGATGAAGGGGATCACAGGAGGTGAAAGGCTGGTTGATATGTATTTTTTTTTCAAAGCTTGGTGTTCGTGCGTCGCTTGTGGTTTTCTTCTAGACTTTGGTGGAGAAGAACGTGCATAGAGGAGCACGTTTCAGTTCTTGTCGTGATTGATTTGTAGGATGAATAGCTTTCCCAGGCTCTGCCGCGAATTAGTGGGTAACGAATGCGAAACGTTTCGGGAGGTAGTTCGACAACATTTAACGGGCTTCACGCGCCGTGGGCTAGGGTTTCGCAGTTACAACGTGTGTTTCCGGAGTGTGCTCACAAGAAGTCTGAAATGTTTCATGCGAGTGCCTACCTTTCCGCACACTTGCAATTGAAAAGATCTCCTATAGTACAGGATATAAAACTGACTTATCTTTGACGACAGGAAGAGCTGGCAATTTTTGTGCCGTTTTCCATGCCGTTGGCATGCTCTCAAACGTCGCGTATGTTTGTTGTCCTTCTCGGGCAGATGGACGGTGTTCGACGGCCCTATCGACGCGCTGTGGATCGAGAACATGAACACTGTACTCGATGACAACATGACGCTCTGTCTTGCCAACGGCGAGCGCATCAAGCTCATGGTGCGCGTGGCGCAGTTGGTTTTTGTTTTCTCGCACCTGTCAATGATCTTCTGCCGCCGGTACCACTCTTTGCTGTACCATCACAGACCATCACGATTAATCGTGTCGTATTATCCAGTGTCACGCGCACTCGCCTAGGGCACGGCGATGGCACAACAATTAGTCAACAGCAAGTCCTGAATATTGTCACGAGGCCCTGAACCTTCTTCTTGGGTGACGTAGTCTTGTCAAACCCCGTGGACACGATTTGGTGGTTGGTTTACAACGATTTTCTGCACAATGAGAACGAACCACCGCATGTTACGAAGCTACGCACACCACACGCCGTTGACACACCGCGCCACGAACGCAGTAAACACGTCCATCGCTAAATCCGCGCTACCTGCGCGCAATGAACGCCAGATCGAGATGAAAATGCTCTTCGAAGTGATGGACCTTGCCGTGGCCTCACCCGCTACGGTTAGCCGCATCGGCGTGATTTACATGACGCCGTCCAACCTCGGATGGATGCCATACGTGCAGAGCTGGGTGAGAGTGCACTTAAACCCACTCACATTGTTTGATATGGTAGTCTGTGTGCTCAAACATCATTTGTTTTCAAAGTCTTGATTTAATAAATTCTCAACGTACGCTGGATAACGGACGTTCCAAAGTCAGCGCTCACTGCATTTGTATGGGTGTGGTTCGGATAAGATCCACATGCTCTTCCCCCCCGCTCACCCTCGTACGTTTTTGTCGCCGATAAACTGTGCGGACATCTCCAATCATCATTGCATTCCGTAACAGCTCCTTGTAAAGATCCCTCGCTTCTTCTCCCCCACCCTCTCTCCTCATCCTCCACGCAAAATACACTCATGCCCCTCCCCCCCCCTGGCTGATGCTCTTGGAAGATTCCCACGGGTTTACCCGAGGCGTTCCCGGAGGCGACGCGGCAGCACCTGCTTCACCTGTTCGAGGTGTGCGTGCAGAAGGGCCTCGATTTCCAGAGAAAGCGATGCAAGGAACCCGTCTCCTGCGTCGACATCCAGCTCGCCACTTCCTTGTCGTTCATCTTCCAGGTGTGTAAGGCTTGGTATGGTATTTGAGAAGCAGGGGGGCTGCGTAGATGGCAAAGAGAAAACTGTCAGAATGTATTCCCGCGTGGTTGTCGGAATACGTGCGTGCGTCCGCCTCTTTTTCCGCTGAAGAGGCCCGGCTCCGCGCTCAGCCTCATTGCATGTTTTCATGGTAGACGAGGTTCGGCTCCGAAACGAACTCCTTCCCGCGGGGAATCGAGACAGGCCTCGACTGACAGAACGGCCGACCTATCTGTCTATCTATCTATCTATCTATCTATCTATCTATCTATCTATCTATCTATCTATCTTTCGCTCTAGTGAGTCCTCGCGCCCGTATGTCGCCGCGTACATGTCGCTGCTGCAGTCGTTAATCGTCAAGGCGGACTCCACCTTTTCACTCCCGGAGGCGGAGCTCAACGCTTTCGTGGACAAGTTGTTTGCCTTCAGCTACGTATGGTCCATTGCCGGGAGCGTTCAAGGGGAAGGGTGAGCACGTCGAGTTGCACCGGGTTTCGTGAGGTGATGAGCCGGTGGCGCGTCTGTTTGTAGAAGCTTGCCCCGAACGGCAAAACGGATTGGTCGAACGACTCTGATATCGTGGCGAGAAAGAGTCCGTCACACATAAGCATTCCATTGTTTCTTGGTTCCTACATATATGTTGAGATGCTGTTAGCATAGTTTAATTGTACAGAAAACAAGTTGTACGCACGAAGAGTATCCCGCCAGCCTGAAAAGACTGAATATCGATCGTAATTAACAATAGCCAGCTCAAGTGTTCTGCGAATCACATCAAATACGTCCAACAGTATTGCCTTTTCTCTCCAAAACACATCAATATTTGTTTGTTTCAAGATGGGAGAGAATGGAGGATTTCTGCCGGGAGCTGTTCGAGGCGGAGGGCCTCCAGCTCAAGGCCCCTCCGGCCCTAACCCTTTTCGAGGTCTACGTCGACCCGGTCTCCAAGGAGTTCCGACCCTGGAAGGATGTCGTGAAACCGTTCTCCTACGACCCCACCGCCTCGTACTTCGAGATGATGGTGCCGACGGTGGACACGACGAGGTTCAGCAACATTTTCAGCGCGTTGATCACACAGGTACAGTAGATGACGAAAGGCACAGACAGCTCGTGAGCGCTCCTTTCGGGGCCCGTTGTCACCCCTCTTGCGTTGAGGGTGTGGAGCTGGCATTGCGCGGACGATTGAAAGTGCTGTTTCGAGGAAGAATGAAGTGATGCCGGCTACAAAACCCTTTCGTTTCCCTCGAGATGTACCTTACTTCCTCCTTCGTTCGTGACAGAATAAGCCTGTTTTCGTGACGGGGATGACGGGAACCGGTAAGACGGTGACGGTGCAGAGCCTCTTGAGCACGCTGGAGCCCCCACCGGAAGACGGCGGCCAGAACGTGGTGCCGATGACGGTTAATTTCTCGGCGCAGACATCTTCCCTGGTCACTCAGGTATGAAGACCAGCACAGCGCGAACGTCTACCGTACGTATGGGCCATGCTCTGAAGAAACATGGCGTTTGAAACATGGCGTTTGAAACATGGCGTCTGCTCCGACTTACCACCTGCCATTCTGGCATGTATCGCTTGTGCTCCAAATAAGGGCATGTAGCGCTTATGCTTCTTCGGTAGGGTTTCGAGGCTACGGACGGGTCTGACTCCTGATGCTTTCTCCGTCCGCGGTGTCTCTTGTGCACAAACGCGATGACGCGATAGGCTTTCAACGATATTTTTCGGCGGCCTTCTACCTTTAGGACGAACATACACGGCGGCAGCATCGAGTATCTGGTCAATGCATACGCAAAAACAGCCAGAAGAAGTTTTGAATTGCGCGTGAAGACGGGGATTTCTGCCCTTTCCCTTTATTTTGGTGGCATGCCATTATGCCGATGATTGCTGCGCCGCATATCCAACGTACCAGGCATCCATCGAGGGGAAGCTGGAGAAGAAGCGGAAGAATCTTCTCGGTGCCCCTGCGGGAAAAAAGGTACAGAGATGCACGAAGCTTGTTGCTTGTTGGCTCGACCGAATAGACGGAGGTAATGAATAGGTCTTCGAACGGAAGGAAACGACGACAACGGCATTCGCGATGAAGTGGCCAACGGTCGCAAAAATGGCAACAGCAACAGCAACACCAAACGAAGACTTGATTTGATTTCAAGTGGTTACCGCTATCCCAACACGCCAAGAGGCAATTTCCTCCTCTGTAAACCGGTAACCCGATTAGGACCTCTCCATCGTACCTCCGCGGTAATGTTGATCCTCAAGACTGATGATGAACTGCTTCCGGGGCCACACGAAGGTAGAAGGTATCGCAACAAACCTTACCGGGACGGAATGTACTTGCTCTTCATGTGTTTGGTTTGGGTGTGAAGTCCATTATTTCTGTATTCTTCAACGTTGAAACTTCGAATGATCGAACATACACGGCATATGGCGATCGTCAGTGGATGGCGTACAATGTCGTCTGGTCACTGGTTTTCGATTGCCGCCACTGCAAACGAAGTGAGGGAAACAAACGAGCGGATGGACTGGTTGAATGAACTGGACAGGTGGTGATTTTCGTGGACGATGTAAACATGCCCGTCGTCGAGGAATACGGAGCACAGGCACCGATCGAGCTCCTCCGCCAGTTCCTTGACTTCAAGGTGCAGTGAACCGCCACAAAATCGAATCGAGTTCATTTTCAATATGAAAGTTGAAAGAGGACCACATTCGACAATGGTAAACGCCCAATTAACGTGCACAAAGCGCACACACACTTTGCCAAACGTGTGCACAGCGCGATAAACCTCAAACAACGCACACAGCCACCTTAACGGCACGTACGAACACGAAACGAACCGCGCAGGGTTTCTACGACCGCGACAAGCTGTTCTGGAAGGAGATAACGGACACGATGCTCATCACCGGGGCCGCTCCCCCCGGCGGAGGGCGCAGCGAAGTAACCCCGCGCTTCGTGCGGCATTTCAACGTGTTCTGCGTCCCGCAGGCCTCGACAACAGCCATGCAGCTGATATTTTCTTCCATGCTCAAGGTTTGGCTGAGGCGCTTGCGTGTGACAAGAAGAGCAGACAAGTATTGGATCCTCACCCCACCTGATGTATTTCGCGTGTTGAGCGGAAAAGTACGGGTTTGGCTGTACTTGTCGTGTGGGCGGCCTGACGCTTGAACTGGTACGAAACTGCAACATCACATATTGCCTACACGCTCAAGCTTTCTGCGTGGTTTCGTGGCTTCGTACAAATCCTACTCTTCCTCGCAGGGCTTCCTCGGGGCCAAGTTCGACACAGAAATCAAGAATAGAGCCGATGGGATCGTCCATGCAACGATAGAGGTGTACGAGCGCATTTCGAGGGAGCTGCTGCCGACGCCTGCAAGGTTTGTCACCGCCCTGGCAGAAAAGCAGTCGGAGAAGTAAGAACAAACCCGTTCTGTGTGTGTGCGTTGTTGTCTTCCTTGGACTTTCGTCACGAGGAAGAAGACTGAGAACGGGTCCAAGAACGGGTCCAGTTGCATGCTTTCGTAAAACAGACGCCCGCGGTCAATATTGGAAACGCTGCCTTCCACCACATCAATGCTACCGAGCCCAGCACGCATTACGAAGCATGCACGCAACACGAACCTTAGCGCACTATGCCTAGTGCTTCTAGAACGAAGGCCCCCCACTCTGCATGAAATAACAGAGCTGTAACGTACCGCCGCCTTGAATTGCATCTTCCAGGTTCCACTACACGTTCAACCTGCGAGACATATCCAAGGTGTTCCAGGGCTTCCTGATGATAACCGCACCCCGCTGCACCACCGTCGAGACGGCTGTGAGGTTGTGGGCGCACGAGTGTTCGAGAGTGTTCTACGATCGTCTTATCAATCGGGAGGATCAGCAATGGTTCGAGGATTTAATTGTTGAGCTGCTTCCGCGTTATCTCAAGGTGAGTTAGATCGCTTGGAAACAACGGGGTTCACCGGAAGCACGATAGTTCAAGTTCATGGTTGAAACGGTACTGTTACTATGCTCGCACCTTGTTGGATTCGCGATGTTGGTTCAAGATTTGACGCCGAATCGGTTTGCAAGAATCAATGTGACAATCGGCAATGGTATCCGGAGAGTACCTCAATGGTGCCCCGCTGTCGTTATTATTCCGTTCTGAAGAATGTGATGGGTTTCAGAGGCACGTGTCCAGCCCACATCTCAAAGCAGTGGCTGTTCTGTGCATGTGACTGGAAGGAGCTGTGTGCGAACTAAAGTGCATTCTTGCTGAATGCCGTTGTGTAGGATTGGCTCCAACGGCTGCTTGCCACGGCTAGCGTTATTTGCGCCGTGATGTGAAACTTACTATCGGAACGGAATTCTTCGAATATCTTTCTAATATCGACCATATCCTGGTTGACGGCAGCCAACATCTTACGCTGAGCATGCACTTTCGGCCACCACCGCACTGTTTGGTACCAAGCTGCTCGGGCTGCCCTACTCTCATGTTTGCTGTCACTCCCAAACATCCGTCCGTTTCGCCCTCCGAACACACCAGTCACCCATCGCATAGTGGATATGTCGATGGCACACTAGTCAAACTCTTAACGTCGTACTGCGGATGTCCTTAGGTGTCATGGTCGAAAGAGGATATTTTTGACGAAGGCTCCCCGCTCATCTTCTGCGACTTCCTCAAGCCCGGCGCTGAGAAACGGCTATACGAGGAATCAAGAGACATGGGGAAAATGCAGCAGGTATCCACGAGATATATTGACCGAACCAGCGTGTGCTGCGATAAATGTGTGGGGGACGTTTCATCATGCGTGACACTTTCGGAGTATTTCCTTTGCGAAACATGGTGAAGCCAAATATGTGGTCTGCGACATATACACACGGCTCGATATGTGTCCACCAGCGCTCTATCTGCATCGTGCATTCTCTTTACCTTCGAGGTGTTAACATGCGATGACCGTATTCCAAGGCGGGATCGACCACCACTTGGAATTATCGTAAAGACAATTGTCTCCCCGGCCGAGGACAATATAATAGATAGGCCAGTCCAAGGTTATCTCAATCTTCAACCACCCTAGAGAGTCATTCGTGTTACAAGTGCATCCTACTGCTTTCAACCCCCTACTCAACCAACACGCGCGCTCGACAGTGCCACAAACTAAACCCGAACCTTGTCGTGTTTTTGACATAAACAACAGATACTGAACGACAGCCTGGACGAGTACAACGTGACGTTCGCGAACCAGATGAACATCGTCTTCTTCGCCGACGCCGTGGTGCACGTGACGAGGATCGGCCGCGTCCTGAGGCAGCCCCGCGGCAACGCCATGCTCGTCGGGGTGGGCGGCAGCGGCAAGCAGAGCCTGACCAGGGTCGCTTCCTTTGTGGCCGGGTACGAGTGCGTGCAAATCGAGATCAATCGGGGGTACGGCCTCATGGAGTTCCGCGAGGACATCAAGAAACTCATGGTGAGCGTTCGTGCCGCGCTGCGTGGAGGCTCTGCGTTTATTAGCAAGCGGTCGGAGGATCGCGGTGGTGGTGGTCGCAGCTTTACCCTCGTCGTCGCAGACACATCATTCTCTTGTTGTCTCTCTCTCAGCCGATTCGGGCCGCTGGATTTATTTGCGGACCCTCTGAATCGGTGCTTATCAGTACACCGCTGGGATGTGGATTCATCATCCAAAGCTGCACGTGTCGACATGTACACTGCCCATTGAGCGTTGGCTGTTCTGCCAGGCGGAACGTTCCAACGAGGACGTACCCCCGACAGTGATGGAAGCCGAGGGCGAGCATTTTCAAAACCATCAGAAAGTGGGAAGCTAACAGATGCGCTCAATGTCAGACGGTTCCTAAAAAAGGAGGATCCAATGACCACGACATTAGATTTTCAGGGGCCATACTTTCTTTACAACAGCTTCACAAGCGACACTCATGTGCGAAAAAGGCACATGTGGTACCCTTGGGAGGGCTACGTCCTCCGAGCAATTGAGCGAAAAGAGGTGCCAGTCGAACTCACCTTCTTGCACTACACGACTTCAACGCCAAATTTCTCCGGCGAATTTGAAACTGACCCCGACTGTACCGAAGCATCCGACTCAACCAGCCAACGACAGCAATGCATGAATTGCGCAAAGAAGTTACGCCACAAAGTCTGCGCACCACCCTCTCAATCGCCGCGTGACCGTACTTGATGTCCGAATGAAAACGTGCCCCCTTAGATCAAGACGGGCGTGGAGGGTAAGAACGTGGCCTTCCTCTTTACCGACACCCAGATCGTGGTGGAGACCATGCTGGAGGACCTCAATAACGTGCTCAACTCGGGCGAGATTCCGAACCTCTTCCCGCAGGACGAGCAGGTTTGTGGTCGTTTTGGACAAGCGCGAAAATATTCTAACCAATTTCCTAGGTAGTTCATGGAATCCAACCGATCGCATGGTCTCCCAACCGAACGCTTCACCATTCATCACAACGTTCGTTCTTATTTTCTGCATGGAACCTCCTCGTGCAGAGCGCTGAGGTTTGACAAAATGATCTATTGAAAATCTGAGTTGCTCTTCCGTAGCAGGCAGGTTCGTCCAAATAAATTATCAGTTACCCATTTTGCTTTGATTCCCATCACTGACGATACATTCGAATCTGCCATTCCCGAACAGGATAAAGTCGCGGCCGACATGATTCCCGTTTGCAAAGAGCTCGGTATCTCGGAGGCCCGCGACACCTGCCTCGCCACCTTCGTCACCCGCGTGCGGGAAAACCTTCACGTTGTCCTCTGCGTGTCTCCCGTGGGGGATGCTCTTCGGGTCCGCTGCCGCAATTTTCCGTCCCTCATCAACTGCACCACCATCGACTGGTTCTTCCCGTGGCCGGAGGCGGCCCTCGTAAGCGTGGCCGAGAGGTTTATCGAGGGCGTTCCCCTCCCTTCCGACGAGGTGAGAAGTTGTGGGCTGCCCGCGTACGCCCCCCCCATTTAGTGAAACCTCCCCCGCGCATCCCCCTGGCTGGGGACCCCCAATTCTAGAAAACTCGTCACGTGTTTCGTCCAGCTGCCAAGACTGAAATATTGTCATTGGTGTGCGGGTTAACATGGTCGATACTGAACAAAGAAAAACAAGACGGAGGTCCCCCTGTTTGTTTTTAAATGGAAGCGGTAGCCAGGATAGTGTAACCCGGCTTGGGGTGTGTGTGGGGGACAGATGGTTCGCTTTTTCCGTTATTCTTAGTGAGCGGTAACGAGTCCGTAACCAACAGACGTGAGAATTTACGGGTTGCGGATAATCTTGGGTAGCAGAGTGTGCTAATCTCCAACAGAAACACGCTCGGGCTTAGTGCCCGGTATTTAGCACGGTTTTGTAGGTGGCGTGCTGAATTTTCGGCCCGGCGGACTACGTGAACGGGTGCAGGTGATTTGACTGTTTTTTCCCTTGAGGCATAGGGAAGGTTTCGACACCCTACTTTTGCAGTACATGAGTGCTGTTTTCCCGGTGGACTTTTCACAGGTACGCGCCGGGTTGATCCGCATGTGCGGGGTGGTTCACACGTCCATCAAGGTCTTCGCCGACAAGTTCTACGATGAGCTCGTTCGACGGGTGTACACCACGCCCAAGTCGTACCTCGACCTCATCAACAGCTACACCACCAAGCTGGGCGTGCTTCAGGGTGCCGTGGAAACCAAGGCCCAGCAGATGGAGGTGCGTGTGTGTCGTGTTCCTGTCGTAACAAGTTAGTATGCGTCTCACTGGCGATGCTACTACTGTCCCTATGTAATTTAGACGTACAACATATGAATAATTCACAGGTGCAAGGTTGCTGCAGCGAGGGTCATTGAGGCAGCGAACAGGCGGTACGAGTGGGTGTGCCATGCAACAGATAGTCGGAGAACTCAACTTTCTTGTCTATGATGCTCGGTTTAATTCCGCCCCCCCCACGTCCTGTAGACTCGGAAAAGGAGTTACTCTGCTTCTTGTGAGCTTTATCAGCCTTGTTATTTTCTCTTCCTTGGCGCGCCGGGAATGTACGGAGACATGAATAGACGACAATGCGATCCAAATCAACTGGACCGACAATATTCACATGTTAGAAAGCGTGGAAGGGCGGATAGTTAATATCTGGTTCTGACGAAGCCTTTATCATGTCCGCTGAATCCAACGACCACCACATGCATCGAGACAAGGTCGGCGTGACCAAGTTAAACGAGACGAACGCGATGGTGGAGGGGCTAAAGGGAGACCTGACCAAGCTGGAGCCTGTCCTCGAGCAGGCCTCCAAAGACGCCGAGAAACTGCTCAAGCAGGTCGAGATCGACAAGGCCGATGCCGCCAAAGTCAAAGACAAGGTGACTTCGGGCAAGAAGATAGTGGACTACTGTCGGATTTGGTAGAATCGAACGCCTACTAAAGGCCACCAATGTTCGCGACCCAAGTTCAGAACAAGTTCTGCGATCCTTCAATGCTCCCGCAATTTCGACGCAGTTACTTGCTGACGCACACAGACGGTGCGACCAAATTCCTTCCACAACGAAGTGCTACACGGTCACATGCAATCGTTCATCTGATAACAACCTTCTAGAAATACTTTTTTTCCAGGGTACGCGCATGCCGTCGGCTGTGTGGGGGGTGTACAAATATTGATGGTTAATCAATCCCAGGGTGTTTCAGGATGTGACGGCACACACCATGAACGAACCCTCACTCTTCCAACCCTCCCCTCCCCGAACAAACAAGGTCGGCAAAGAAGAAGCGGAGGTGGGAATCCAAGCCGCCGAGGTGAAGGCGGTCCAGGCAGACGCGCAGGCCGACCTTGACGTGGCCCTTCCCGCGCTAGAGGCGGCCCTCAAGGCGCTGGACAGCCTTACCAAGAACGACATCACGGAGGTCAAAGGGTTCGCCAAGCCACCCCCGGCGGTGCAGATCGTCATGGAGGCAGTATGCATCTTGCTCGAGGTGGGTGATGAGAAGCTCATGACCGAGGCACAGCTCTTGTTCGCGAAAATCGACATGTTACCTACAGCCGTGTTCCCTTCTATTTTGATCGGTTAGTGTGCGACTTATCGAGTTTATTCGACAACTTGCACAAACTATTGTGTCAAGACTTTTGTTGCTGACCGCCTCCCGAACGTGGGGTTAAATCAGCCAAAATCAAACGTAGAGCGATGTCGCACAAAAGCACCATCGATGGACTTTTAACCTAACTGGTGCCACGAAGGTTTCCGTTCATACCTCCCTGTCGATTCACGGATTCTATGATACCACTTACCCGGATCAAACAACAACGCCGTCATCGCAATCACTTGACAAACCAGACCAAGACGGACTGGGATTCGGCGAAGAAAGTCCTGGCAGATACCAGCTTCATGGACAAGCTCAAGAACTACGACAAGGTGATTTCCCAAGCCATTTAACCTTGCTTGGTCTCGTTGCCGCTTTCACTCTCAGTTTTGTCCAGTTTGCGCAGGGGAAGCGGGGTAGGGGACCAGGAGGGCAGGGGGGAGTAGGATATGGTGCGGATCGATGGGATTTGATTGTTCACGAACGCAAGAGACAGGTCTGCATTTCTCAACAGTTTGAGTGAGAGGGCTGCCTGAGCTTGTACGGTTGAGGGAACACCGAGCGTGAAATGACCAACGAGGAGCCCTCCCTGCACGTTAATATAACTGTGCGCCACAAACCGTATCCGTAATATCGACAACGTTAGGACAACATCAGCCCGACGATACTGAAGAAGATCAAGCCGTACGTGGAAAATCCCAACATGGCGATCGACGTGGTCACCAAGGTGTCAAAGGCTGCCTCAGGGCTGTGCATGTTCGTCCACGCCATGGACGTGTACTCCAAGGTACGAAGTTGCTCGAAGCGAAGGTGAATGAATAAACCCACGCCCATTTACCCCAAATACCACACCACACGTCTGTGGTTCTTGATTTAGCGTGTCATACGTCAGACGTCACCCCTTCCCCCCCTCGGCCTGCTCCCCGACCGGGGCCGAAATCGACCTAGTGAGTCCCTCGCGGGCGAACCAGGCCACAACAGATAGTAGGCGGGTGGTGTCCCAAGGTGCAACTCACCGCCGCGCTGGCTCAGCGTGGCGGTGAGGATGCACAGACGGTGGTAGTGGCGAGAGGTGCATGGACACTGTTCCCGCGGCAGTAATGCAAAGCGGCAAACTGCACCTGGCAACCACCGTCGCGGAAAGCGTGGCCCACGAAGCTGGAGGAGTAGAGAGATTCGTAAACACCACGTCAGTAAGCACCGCTCGCGGGAGAAGGGAGACAACCGCGGGCACCGCGGGGAGGGAGTGCTGCACCCTCCTCGTCAAAACACCACAGGCAAGAACCGAGCTCTGCAGAG